AGTTGCTACTAAATGGTTCAAATTTCTTCTGCATGGGACATTTACCTATTCTGTCTTCAATGTTTATATCAACACAAATATAAAGATATCTACTTTATATTTTATGTTATAACCCAATGCTAATTCATTTTTGTTGTTATTGTTTTTCAGTTTGGGCCACTGAAAGGTCTTTCCATTGGTTCTTGTATCCATCTGACATCTTAGTTTTTTCTCTTGTTGTATACCACTTTTTAATATTTCTTTCTTTCTGGAACTATGTGATCCTCTGGGGCCATTTTGTGTATTTCTGGCTCCAAAGACGGGTGCTAGGTGTGCCCAATGCCACTGGGGTAGCCTTGCTTCTAAACCTTCTCAGCTGATTGTTCAAGGCTAGGCCCTGTTTCTGTAACAGAATGTTGTTTCTGTGAGTAACCACCTTGCCAATGACACAAACTCCAGTCCATTGTTACGTAGTCATGGCCTCCTCCCTTGCTTATCTCTTGCCTCCCAATCCAGCTGTGAGAATCCTGGCTCCATCCATTTAGTTAATTGCTTAATTCCAGCATGTATGTGTAGTGGCTTCAGGATTGTTAACCAGATCACTGGGGAAACGACATTATCAACCAGAGTACAGCGTTTGTGCATAGTTCTGGTTGCATCGGGTCTCACAGGCTATTTGTTCCCACAGTCACTCAGGCCACCACCTTTGTGCCCATTCCTTTCATTCAGGCTTTTGCAAACATTTGCAAAACATTTAGATTCTTTTCTTACATTCTGCATTGCATCCTGAATCATTCAATCTCCTGAATGATTTTTTAAAATTTATATGCATCAATATGTACTCTTTGAGCTCTTAAATTCTTTGAGTCCTGACAAATGTTTAATGTGCTATAGTCACCATTACAGTATCAAACAGGATATTTTCACCATCCTAAAAAAAATCCCTCCTGCAGTATCTCTTTTATGTCTCTTTAGTTTTGCCTTCTTCACAGTGTCACATAATTGAAGTCATTACAGAGTGAAGCTTTTCTGACTTCATGACCAGCTTTTTTCACTAGCATTATGTGTTTGATACTAACCCATGCCATTTTATTTTATGTTATTTTATTTTTGAGACAAGGTCTCGCTTCATTGCTGAGGCTGGCCCCAAACTCCTGGGCTCGAGTGACCCTTCTGCCTCAGCCTCTCGTGACTTGGGACTCCTGGCACCTGGCATCGCACCTGGCTCAATCCATGCCCTTTTTGTGGCTTTGTACATCATTTCTTTTTGTCATTGAATTCATCTGTAGATGTCCCAGACCACCTGTGAGGCAGCTCTGTCATCTTGGTTGCATTCAGCACTGGGCAAGTATGAATAAAACTGCTAAGCACTTTGTGTGCAAGTCTTCTGTGAACCTGTTCCCACAGCAGCTGGATCCGTTTTTGCCTCAGCAATAACACTGTTTCTTGGGCATATGGTGGGACTGCGTTTGGTTTTCTAAGCAACTGCCTGTTTGCATTCCCACCAGCAAGGGGCGAATAAGAATTCCTGTTACCTGGGTCCTCCCCACTGCCCCACCATTGTCAGAGTTTGCTCTGTTTTCAGCCATTCTAAGGGATGCATAGCAGTGTCTCATTGTTTTGATTTGCAATTCCTTAATGGCAATGCCAACATAGTTTTCATATGCTTACTTGTTGTCTATTTGTCTTCCTTGTTCACACTTCAGTGTGTGTGCTCAGTAATTTTGCCCACTTTTTAGTTGGTCTCTGTTTTCTTCCCATTGAGTCTCCTTTAATTTTCAAAATAAAATTCAAACCTCTTTGAATAACAGAAACCCTTCCCCACTACTTTAGTTTTTCCAGAGGAAAGGTCCAGTCTTAGCCACCCTTACAAGCCTCGACTCGCACCTCCAATGGGCGAGGACAAGTTAAGCAGGATTTAAGTGACATAGAGATATTTGTGCTTGTCTGTGAGTTCTTCATACCCAGTGTCTGTTTAGAAAAGTGAAGCCCTCGTTCTGTCTCTACCAGAGAAAGTCAGCTGCCCTCAGCCTGGGGAGCCATCTTAACACCTGAGCCTTTCCTGATCCTTGAGCTCTGTTACAGGCCAGTTCTCCAGGTGACTCCGGGGCTGGAGTGAAGCCACAGTTTGAGGACCGCTGCTTATGCTGCATGGTCTTGGCGCGGCTGGCATTGCTGTTGTTGTTTAATACAGAAGAAAGACTTTGAGGTGACTCTGCTGGGCAAGACGTTGCAGTTAGAGCCTTAAAAATGCTATAGGAGAAAAAAGAGCAATACAAGTTAGAAAAAGAATCCCCAGAAATTGCTGAAGTCTCTAAAATTCTAACCATGGGGCCAAATGGAAGATGGGTTTCTGGAACTATTAAGAAATAAGGAAAAATGTGATTCCTGCAAAATGAGCTATGAGGAGGCGTACAGACGAGGGTGCACAACACGGGCACCATGGCCATCGGCACTGTGCTGTGACCTGTCAGCTCTACGACAACCTTGCAGCATCTGTCCTACCTGTGGTGCACCAGGGGCTGAAACAGCGTTAGGCAGCACATGACTGGACTTCACTTCAGTGGCTTTCACATGCGACAGCTTTGCCTTCCAGGAACACGTGACACTGTCACAACTAGGGCAGTGTCGGCATCTAATAGGTAGAGACATGATGTGGCTAGACGTGCTGCAATGCCCACGTGCATCCCTCACAGCGAAGCATTATGTGGCTCAGAATGACAGAGCCCAGGTGGGGAGATCCTGCTCCATCTGAACTGGTTCACACTCATGATTCCTAGTGTTTCAGAAACATGCTCCACAAGAGCCCTCATGGCTCATAAGGGTTACCCATAGATGTTTGAGTTTGAACTCAAAACTCATTTTTGGAGTGCAGTCAAAAAATGGGATTTAGAATTTAAGATACTAGTAATGATGGAAGGAACCAGGAGGAGTGGGTTTGTTTTTCAAAACTTCCTGGCAGAAGAACCTATGGCCTAGCCCAGCACTATCCACCCAAAGCCTCATCACACAGCTATCCAAGGTGTGTGACCTGGGGCAGAGCAGGAGAGAGAGGAGCCACTGCTGGGTTACAGGATGATTGATTCTATGAGACTGCAGGGTCCCTGTCTCTCTAAACAGCCAGATGGATTCCAGGCAGCTGCCTCTGGTCAGGAGTAAACCAGTGATTTGAAACACATATATCTGTGTTACTCACAAAGATTCAATTATCTTGAAACCAGGTGGGTTGCCTAGCAATGGCATCCTTCTCCCCCCGCCACACACACACCTTCTGCTTACCTAGATCTGTGGTTGCCCTTTAGTGACCTACCTGAAAAGTAGGCATAGCATAGTGGGTAAGAGGGAGGCCTCCCGAGAGAGGAACACCAGACCCTGAGTCCTAGCTGTGATGCCTGGGCCTGGGCGAGTCCCTCTTCCTTGCAATATGACAGAGGCCCTACTAGTTCCTCATACCAGCTTGGCAGGGATTAGGTGAACTAATGAATATACAGTTGCTGCCCAAAGCATAGCAGATGCTCAGTGACTGATGGTGCTTATTTTTCTCTAACACCGATACCCTTCTTCATGGCTTCCTTTTGGCCAGCTTTCACCAGCACACATGGAAGAGAGTGAGGGCTCTGAGCTCCAAGTGTCTTCTGCCCCATCTGGCTCACCCTCCAACACAGATACACATAATTCTGCCCCCTTCCACTTTTTTTTTTTTCTTGGTACCAGGGATTGAACTCGGGTCCTTGCGCTTGCGAGGCAGGTGTGGGAACCACTGAGCCAAATCCCTGGCCCCCCTTCCACTTTTGCCTCCCCAAAAATGGCATAATTTGTCTTCCAAGCTCAAGGAAGTCTGATATGCAGACAGTTTCCCGCTGTATAGCGTAGCCCACACATTCTAGAAACCGAGGACTCTGGGGACTCAGCTTCTCCCTCCATATCTTGGCATCTTTCTTTAACGAACAATAATTTTTACCTAGTTAATTATGATTTCCGTCTTTTGGAGTTTTAATTAAAGGTGTCCTGTCAACTATTAATAAATGAAATAATGAATCTTGCCTTCCAGACTGCTGGTGTGAGGAAGCTGACTTAGTGGGAGTCCCCACAAGTCTTTGTGACAGATGGAAACCTCGACCAAGTGGGGAACTGGACTGAGTGCTGCTGCTTTAGCTGTTTTGGGGACCACACCTTTCACAGCAGGCCTTGGGGACAGCAGTGTGCACATTATAGCAGGGTACATTTCACAGAAGTTTTGTTATCTGTTTTGTGTCACCAGCCAGACTATAAACTCCTTTTTTGCAAAGGACGACTTTGCACATAGTATACCCTGCAAGTGTTTGCTGATTGAGTAAAGGATTGGCTGTTGTGAAAAAGAACAAATGATTCTGTGCGGAGGCTGTGTGCATGCTCATACTGCTGATAGAGAGAACTTTTGTAAATAGTCTGAAACCTACAAAACGTTAAGGAAATATAGAATAACTGCTGCCTTTTGCTTCTGTAATTTGCTTTGCCTTACTTGTTTTTTAGCACAATACCAGAGTTTTCACCATTAACTACAAAGCTTGAAAGCACATAGCCCTTATTTAAAATTAACAGATGCTGGAGGTGCTTAGCCACATCCCAGGGTTAGACTGGATGTTCAAGCTAAGATAACAGTCACCATACCCCAAGCCCTAAAACTTTCTATAAATTATATGACTTTAAAGGAGTTAAGATGAAAGGAATGTCCTGCTTTCCTAAACCCCACGCTTGTGGGCTAAAATAGCTAAAGATAAACATCCTAAAAGAGAATACTACATTTGGGTTAACATTGAACAGTCTTGTGACCATGATTTGTGATGGGAACTGAGGGAACTGGAATGTCTTATCAAACTACCTATAATGAGGTCATGATTGTAAAACTCCTACAAAAGGCAGGTTGTAACTGAGCCCAAGATCTGTCATTTAGCACAACCCTTGGTGCAGGCCAACCCTTTGCTAGCAAAGTTAACTTTTTTGTTTTACCCACTCTTTCATCTCTGTGTATCATTTACCAGTTCTTTTCCACAACACCGCCACGGATGAGGCCACTGACCGGTGACCAAAACCACGCAGCACTTCAGTCTTGGCAGCACATTTTCATATGTTATCTGGGTGTTTCTTCACCAGAGCCTGTCCAGCCAGAAACGATTTATCTCCATTTCACTCTGAAGATGTGAGTGTAACTCAGGCTGCTCTAGAGGGAGCCTGTACATTTCAGCACTCAGACAGTGCCGAGAAACGCGCCTGGGGTCCTGACTGGGGAGACACACTGCCTGGTGTGGGACCGGGGATGTAGCTCAGTGACACAGTGCCTGTCTGGCAAGCACAAGGCCCTGAGTTCAATCCCTGGTACAAATAACAACAACAAAACAAAAGCTTCCTGGCTTTAAGACTGAAACTCCTACGTCCTGGGCAAACCAGGAAAACTTGTGACTCTATCTCACCCGGAAAGTTTTAGATAGGACATAAGATGCCAACACTCTGAGAGGCTGAGGCAGAAGCACTACAAATTCAAACTTAGTGAGACCCTGTCTCAATAAATAAAAACAGGCTGGGGATGGAGCTCAAGGAGGAGGCCCCCGGTTCAGTCCCCAGCACCAGCAAAAAGAAAAAAAGCATGAGGCCCACAATGCAGTAAGATCCCCAGCCACCGACAGTACGGGCTGAGACGTGAGGACGGAGAGGGTATGGGTTAACACCTGGAGACATTAAGTCAGAGGGGGATGAATCTGTCCACACCGCCCAACAAACGTGGGGATGGCCCGGCGCTGATAGCCTTGTGACCAGGAGCGGACTCCTTGGGCACTGGCCTACACAGTAGGGTATGGAACCTGAACCCCACTGTCACTCCAGTGCTCTCAGACCTGCTCCGATGCCACCAGAAGTGGTCCAGAGGCACCTTTTTTTGACATCATTTTTCAAACAGTAGAAGGCTTGACTTGGTCATTTTGGTAAAGTAGTGGAAACAGTTTCACAAATGGTGTGTCTGTGTGCCTGTGTGTACCTGTGTGTGGCTCCACGTGTCTGCGTGTGCCTCTGTGTGTGTCTGCGAGTGCCTGCCTGTGTGCACCTTGCAGGGAGGAAGCCATTGCATGGGCGGCATCATCTGCCCATCTGGGCAGAGCCTATGGCATTCACTCAGGCCGTTGGGTAATGGTGGTGAAGCAATTCTGTATCGCATTTTGAAAGAGGCATTTAAAAAGAAGCCACCAGAGCAATGATTCAGACTTAATTACCCCGGCGATCAGGCCAGGTGGAAAACACATCGGCCTCACAGCAGAGGGAAGGACAGTGCTCCCCAGCCTGGGTTGCTCCCGGGCCTGAGGTGAGAGCCCCCAAAGACCCCAGGTCTCTGCCAGCCCACGAGGTGCCGACTTGCTGCAGGTCGCCTGGATCTGGTAGGACACCTTGTGGAGCCAGCTGTCCCAGGTCCTAGCTTATTCCTAGTGTTTCCTAGGTTTTTCTGGGCTCTGTCTGTTTGTTCTGTGTCACTGTGCCCACCTGAACTCAGGCATCTGGGCTCAGAGTTGCTTGGGGCTCTGGACGCAGCCCTGCCTCGCGTCCCAGGTGAACCGGCTTGGCGGCAGAAGTGCTGTCCCGCCTCTTGGTTGGCATGGTTAGGACCAAGCAGCTGCTCGTCTCTGTGCTCTGAAGCTGGGTCTTAAGCCATAGCAGTGACCTAGATCCTGCCAGAGTACAAGGACCCTACTGCTTCCTCTGTCACTGGACTCATCAGTGTGCAGCCTGGTGTTTCGGGGAAATACTCAGCAGGGATTCCCAGAGTCCAGAGTCTGGCATCCCTGGAAATCTTGCTACAGAACCGGATGGAAGGCTGTGTCCCTGAAATATTCCCCAGGGCTGCCTGCATTCCACGCCTGTCCGTCTATTTGATTGTTCTGTCTGCCGGCGTGCTGGAGACTCCTTTAGACCTGTGAGCTTAAACTCCTCGACACCATCTCTGTGTCTGAGGCTACATTTCACTCGTATTTCCCTCCTCTGTCGGGCTTTCCAGGTCTGTCAAAGCACTCACCAGCGAGCAGCAGAGTTGAGTGGAGCAGCAAATTTCAGGAGTTTTCCAAATTGTACCGGTGTTTCCTTACTCCTGGTCAATGGGCTGGCTCAGGCAGGGTGTTAACCTAGGAGGTCCTTTCTGCCTCTCTGTTGACATGGAAATGTAGGAACCACGAAGGCTGACTCCTGAAAAGAAACAGTTCTTCAGAAGCAACAGAATAGGCAGCTTGCTCAGAGGACTTTGAAGTCCTCCGGGAAGTATCCTTTTCCAGGCAGCTCATCCTGTCCTTACTTGTCAGACAATTACTTAACCTTTTAGGACTCCCTGCCCTGCTGGACAAGGTTGCTTTCCATGCCCATAAATCATCACCCTAACCAGACAGCCCAGCTGTGAGTTTCCCACTCCAGGGACTTCAATCACTCAGGAAATTCCTAGGGGGAAGCCACAGTTTTCTGTCTACACCTTGTGCTCCTCCGCCTTCGCTAAAGTGTACTGCTTCAGCAACCACCCTTGAAACAACCAGGAGACAGGTGTGGCACTGCAAACCTGTAATCCCAGCATATGGGAGGAGGCTGAGGTAGGAGGACTGCTGCTATGAGTTCAAGGCCAGTCTGGGCTGCATTGTGAGACTGTCCCAACCTGCCACCAAAGAGATGACCAGGAAAAATGGGCTTGACTACTGGGAAGCGATTTAAACTGGATCTGTGCCCAAGAAAACACAGGAGAGTTGTTCTTTGATCCTTGAAAATTTCCAGATGTGTATTGAATTTTTCCAAATTAGAGATGGCATAAATCATCTAGGAATTTTAAATGTCCTATTTAAATTTTAAATTTTCTATTTAAAATTCCCAGATGAAAAATTGAAACCTAGCATTTGTGTAGCCAGGCTGTGAATTTACATATATGAATCAAGCCAGGAGAACAGGATGATTCCAGGGCTCAGGGGATGGGAATGAGGTGCTCAGTCTCTGGAGTTCTCTAGGTCCACATGTGTAAACTGCAGGTGAGATCATGACCTCCACTTTGTGAGCTCTGTAAGTGGTAAAGAAACCAGACTTAGTCTAAGGGTTGTCATCGCTTCAGTGAGTAATGTCTTCACTTGGTTCACTGTGCTCTTCCTCTGGACTGGGGGGTACACACAGGCATGCACTCTGATTTCTCCCCCCACCTCAACCTTTTCCGGAAACTTTCTTAGCTAACCAGAGTCTTGTGCTGCAGTGCACGAACTTTTACTCCTCCTTAGTTTGTGGCGCAGTGGTACAGACTCAGGTACGCCGTTCTTTCCCCTGCCGTTCACTGCTGTGAAAATGTCCTGCACACTCCCAGAAGTCCATCCAGGCTGCCCCAGCAGGATGACTCCTCAGCAGCCCCTTCTCTCCAGGAACCCAGCCTGAGTAAAGTCCTGCATATGCTGAGGGAGGACCTTTCTCCACTGACCTCAGATGGGCTGCTCTGCCCTCCCCGGTCCCATCCACCTTGTCCTAACCCACTCCCTGGGCACCCCGGATGGCCCCTCCCCAGCTCAGTCAGAGCACCAGCTTCTAGGACCCTGCGCAGAGCTCCAGCAGACAGCAGCGGTGCTGCACACTGTGCGCTGGGCATGTGCTGGTGCGGTGCCTGTCACCTCGGCCGAGCCCATGCACCATGGAGACGGAGTCAGGGCTGCTCCTTCCTTGCTGACTCTCTGACTCATTTGATGCCCATATAAGTTGCTCACTTTGCCCCAGGCAGAGCCCAACCTACAGGGGAGGCCACTCACAGCCCTCAAGCCCGGCGTCCTGGTAGAGGAGGTGGACAGTGAGCAAGGATGTAAATGGAGCAAATGTCTACTCCGGACAAGGGCCAGGAAGGGCTGAGGAGCTCAGGGAGTCAGGAAGAATGTGGTGCTCAGAGTGGACCTTCAGGGGCCACAGGCTCTGCGGGCCCTGATAGAGGGGACAACACTGGTGGGACACGTGCCTCATGCTTGGGGTCAGAAGTTCCTCTTCGCTGGACCACGGGTACTCAGAGGGGGCCCCTGGGGGGCCAGGAGAGAAGATCTGAAGATGACATGTGCCCAGGTAGCTCGTGGCCCTAATTGTAAGTGATGACATTCGGGCCTGCCTCAGCGCACTAGACGCAGGGCCACCAGGGCTGCGGGCCAAGCTCTGCCACCACTCTGCGTGCCCTGTGCTGCGTTCCACGGCCCCACTTTCTCCAGCCGGATGGCGTCTCGCCCGAGGGCACCCTCACTGTTCCTCCAAAGGCCCAGTGAAGCCCAGCGACAACCCCTGACACTCGCTGTCAGAATGCACCCCAGCTTCCAGGCACATTCGTGGAAGACCCCTGTCCTTAGCATCGCACTCCCATCTCCACGGCAACACCCTCAGGACAGCCTCCACCTCTTCCATGCGTGCGTGCAGGCTGCTCCTAGGTCCTAGGTCCCCTTCCAGTCCTCATCCAGCCACCTGGCCGTACCCTCCCTGTGTCTGAACTCGGCTCTCAACTTCTGTGACCTCCTCCACAAGTCCCACCCTCAGTTTGGTGTGTGTGTGTGTGTGTGTGTGCGTGTGTGCGTGCACGCGCACATGTGCGTGTTAGCTCACTGGTGTCAATCACTGTGATACATTGCCCAGGTTGTAAACTCTCAAAACCAAAACCAAGGCTCAGAACGGTGCCACATGGCCTGTCATCAAGAAAGATCTTCATCACTGCTGCTGTTGGCGGTGGTGCTTTGGCAAGAGCATGGGTGGTGCTGCTCTACGGCAGCAGTGACGCAGGGAGACCACGTTGGTTACTCGCCTGGCCCAGCCTGGGGACAGACAGTGGATGTGACAGGGTGCCGCTCCTCTCCTGGCGGGGGCTGTTAAACAAGAGGCAGGTTTTATACTTCTCAGATGAAGCCCAGGGCCCTACACGTGCCAGCCAAGGGCTCTGCTGTGGGCCTAGCCACGCGCCAGCCCTTCCCGTCGTTACTGTAAGACAGCACCTGGCTGAGTTGCCCAGCCTGGCCTCAGGCCTGCGGTCCTCCCCACTCATCCTCTCAGCGGCTGGCTAGCAGGATCTCACCGAATCCAGTCTGAACCCGGCATCCCAGCCCCTGGGATGAGGAGACACCTCCAAAGACAAGCGCGGTGTCAGGGACCTTCCTGGGCTTAGGGGAACCCAGAGGACACCGCTGACTCCGGTGACGGCCACTGGTCCACCCCCTTGGTCATTCAGCGCCCACCCACCGCCCGCTGTGTGCCAGTCTCACCACAGAGCTGGAGGGGTGAGCTCCTTCCCTCTGGGAAGGAGGGGAGACAGCCAATGGACAGCAGAAGGATGTGTTCCGGAGGAGTCGAGGGAGGCACAGGGACCACCAGGCTGCGCAAGGGATCGGGAGGAAGAGCCGGCTCGTGGCATGGGCGGAGCTGTGCTGGCTGTGCCAGAGCAGGCTGTGTAAAAGGCGAGAGGCGCGCTGCCCTGTGTCGCCGAGGGGCTGGGTGCATGTCGGGGGCGGGGCTTTGGCTGTCCCGCGAGTCGGCCGAGGGCCATGGCCGGAAGCGGGCATCATCTCAATCCCACGCTGGCCACAGCAGGGAGCTATGGCGAGGGTCCCCGCACCACGACGCTGGCCTGAGCCAGGGCTGTGGGGAGGCAGAGAGAGCCCCTGCCACCGCCCCGTGAGCCACACACTCGGGTGGGCACGCGTGCATCGCGCAGAAGTGGCAGGAGCACAGAGAGGAGGGCCCTGGGGCTGGCGCGGTCCCCGTGCGACCGCTTTGTTCTCTGTGCTCAGCGCCCGCTCCCTGGATGGAGGCCTCGGGTCCGAGGGAGGAGGAGCCGCGGACTGATTCGGGAGGTGTGGGGCACGTGGTGGTGAGTGAGGGCAGGAGCTGAGGGCCGTGTGCTGTTCGCTGCAGGTGCCGCCGAGATGGGCCCTGTCCTCTGCGGATGCCTGCTCCTGTGGACTCTCCACGTGCCAGCCACCCAGGCCGCCCACCCAGGGATCAAGGCTAGGGTCACTCAGCGGGCACTGGACTACGGTGAGTGCGAATCCCGCCAGCTGCGGCCCCAAGGGTTCTGTGACCCCAGGCCAGCGGCTCCCAGCTCGGGCTGTCTTGGGGCTGGGGCAGTCTGCTCCAGGCCTGGGGTGGCCGGGAAGAAAGGGCGGCCTGAGACAGCTGCCCGTGGGAGGCACCTCCCAGCAGGGACACCAGGGCTCCGCATGGAGTGCTCTCCCATGAGCAAGATGGGACCCACCACAACTTCCCTCACTCCGGGCTCCAGAGGGCTTGGGACCCTCTGACGTGGTGTGAATGCGCGGTGAACTGTGTGGCGCCTGTTGTCAGGGTTGCAGCCAGGCCCAGAGCTCTGAGGCCCGGTGGACAGCGGGCCCACAAGAATGCGGACAGAAAGAGGAAGGCGGCATCGCTTTCTGGACTGGGCAGAGCACGGATTCTGGCGCCGGGTGGCTCCGGTGAGGCAGGAGCCTCCCGTTGCCAAGTGGCAGCAGCAAAACCTGCTGTGCTGCGGCTGTTCTCTCCTCTGCCAACAGATCACACTCGATACGTTGTATTTGTGTGGTTAGTATACTTCACCATCACCGCCTTGTGTTATCGCCAAACCTTTGCCTGTTTCCTTCTCAGGTGTTCAAGCTGGGATGGAGATAATGGAGCAAATGGTAAAACAAAAGCACATCCCAGATTTAAAAGGCTCTGAAACTCTTGAATTTCTGAAGATTGATTATGTGAACTATAATTTTTCAAAGTAAGTAAAAGAGCCCTTTGCCCTCCATAAAAGAGGCACCAGGGGAACAGTGGACATCTGTTCTCAAGTCTGCCTCATGGCCCAACATGGCTGCTGCAGTTACAGCCATCAAATCCATGTTTCATGCAGCTGAAAGGAAGTAAAAGGACACTTAAGACCTAAGTAAGTGTTCCTCTTTTAGTGAGCTTTTTCCCTGAATCTCTTCTCTATATAAGATTCTTCCAAAAACATCAGACAGATTTATTATCAAGGGAGACTGAGGAATTAAATTTTCAAGCAGGCAGTGGTGTCTTCCCCAATAAAATCGGGGATGTTTCGTTTCAAAGACAGGGAGAATGGGTGTTTGGATAGCAACCGGCAGTGAAGCGTGGCTGACAGCGAGCCCTAAAGGAGGACAGGGAGAGGATGTCTTCGCTGGTCTTGAGTTCACCTTGAAGGAGAGGGAGAGTCAAGCTGTTAGAGGCGTGCTCCGCAACTCAAAATCATGGTTTGCCCCCACTTTTTCAACCCAGTGAAAATCTTTTGCTACCCCGATCATGCAGAGCAGTGGTGTCCTGGCCATGAATGACCTTCTGTCAACCAGGGGTTTCTCTGTGTTGAAGCAGAGGTGGCTACACAGGGGAGGCTTCTGCTGTCTGTTTCAAGTTAGCCGCTCAGCGAGCGCTTCTGAGCACCCACCCAGTCGATGCCAGGCCTTCTCTGGATGAGGGGGGCATAGCGAACCACACGGACGCAGCTCCCGCCCTGATGTCCGGCAGAGAGATGGACACGAGCTGTGTCTTTCCCAGAGTGATATGTGACAGTCGTGATGGTGCCGTGACAGGGAATTTCAGGGAGAAGGGTGCACCGCCCATGCTGGAGGAGAGAACCAGGCCTTCTCGGGCCTCACCAGCCGGACAGCGGGGACACTGCCTGCGGCTGTGCACTGAGGGCTTGCAGTGTGACTTGTGAAGCAGAGAGACCGCGTTTCATTTACTTAACTGCAATTATTTTAATTCAAAAACTGATACTTGGTTCCATTACCGAAGAAAAATCACTGGTGCACTTCCATGAAACTAAGAGACTTCCACACAGCAGAGGGCACAAGTGACAGAGTGACAAGAGCCTCCGAGATGGGAGAAAATACCTGCAAATCATTCCTGTGACAAGAGGTCCAGCTGGGGGTGCAGCTCAGTGGCACAGCACCTGCCTGGCAAGAGCAAAGTCCTGAGTTCAATCCCTGGTACCAGAAAAGAGAGAGAGAGAGAGAGAGAGAGAGAGAGAGAGAGAGAGAGAGAGAGATCCAGAATATCAACAAAACGCAAACAAGTCAATAGCAAACAAACAACTCAGTGTAGCCTTCTTTATAGCAGAGCAATACTCCACTGTGTATAAATACCACCTTTTCTTTATCCATTTATTTATTTATTTTTTTAGTACCAGGGATTGAACTCAGGACTTTGTGCTTGCCAGGCAGGCGCTGTGCCCTGCTGAGCTACATCCCTGGCCCCTATCCATTCATTTGTTGATGGACATATAGGTGGCTTCTGAGGTCTAGCTATTATGAGTTCATGGATCCCCATTTTGTGATGGCTTTACCTCTTTCAGGAAGACACCCAGAGGAGATGTAGCTGGGTCCGATGGAATTTCTGCTTTTAGTGTTTTGAGGAATCTCCACACTGATTTCACGTACGGTTCCGTAGTGTAGCGGTTCTCACGTCTGCTCCACACACTGACTTCATAGTGCCGTGCTAGTTTACCCCCGCCAACCATGTGGAAGGCTTCCTTCTCCCCATGGCCTCACCAGCTTTTGCTGTTTTCAGGTTGTTGATGATGGCTATTCTTTCTGGAGTGAGATGCCATCTCTGTGTTGTTTTGTTTTGCATGAGGAGAGGGAACTCTCCTACAGTGCTGGTCAGAGTGTAAGTCAGTATCGCCATTATGGAAAAAAGCATGGTGGCGGTGCCTCGAAAAATCGCGAAACAGAGATGCCAGGTAATCCAGCAATCCCGCCACTGGGTGAAGGAACAGCCACATTTACTTGTGTGTTCACTGCAGCACCACTAATAACAGCCAAGATACGGAATCAAACTGGGTGTCTGTCAGCAGGTACGTGAATAAAGGCTTGGAATACTCCGCAGCAGAAAATAAAAGTATTTCCAAGATGTAGGCCTGCATTCTCTCCCTGCAGTGGGACTCAGGATGAAGGATAGAGAAGAGGTAGGAGAGGGTGCACAGAACAGGAAACAGCAGACTCAGGTATCGGCGATCATAATTATGTTTCAAACCTACCCGAGCCATAGTTCACAGCTATGCTGCTCTCCTGTGCTGTGGTTGCACGAGATGAACCTGCTTTTCCTTCCCAGCGTGCCTCTGAGTCAGGCTTCTGAGAGACTGGCTGGAAAAGGACAAGTCTCTCGCCTGGGGTTGCACGGCCAGGACAGAGCTTTGCAGGACCGGAAAGTGGCACAGCCCGGTGGTTAAAGCAGTCTGAGTCAGGCTGGGGCAGCTCCAGGTCTGGTTCTACCACCTACATGAGGCTTCAGCAGCTTTTTATCTTCTCATCTCTGGAGATTACAGAAATGGCAACCGTCCCCCAGCGCACACGAAATGCTCACCTGTGCCTGGCAGGGAGCAGTCACGCCCCTTGGGCAGGAAGAACTTGTCACCGTGAGTGTGGCTGTCGGCCTACCGAGCTCACCAGCTACCAGGCTCCGTGGACCTAGGGCTACTGTCACCAGCCCGGGGGACTCGGGAAGCCAGCCTCTCCCCTGGGGAGTCCGGGCCACATCAAGGCCACCTGGAAAAGGAAGAAGGCACCCTCGGGGTGGTCAGCCTGAGTGGTGGACCCTGCTGATACTTGGGCCAAATGTCCTGTGACGTGTGCAATACTCCCCAGTCCAATATCACCCCTTTGCAAATCAGTGGACCTGCTAAAGGGGCAAGACGCATTGTGCCTGTTTTTGCCTTGATCTAAAGAAGTAGGTTGCTTGATGATTTGCAAATTTCATTCTAAATGTACTCTCTTCTCATCTCAACTAGGCAGCAGGGGCTTTCTGGTAAGGAGAAGGAGAGTTGGGAATCCACAGTTGCCCCTAGGAACCTGACAGCTGCCTTTGTAATTCTGCTTGACTTGGAACCATGCACAAGAGTCACCTTAACACACCCCTTTCTTGTCTTACAGCATAAAAATCCACACCTTTTCATTTCCAAATACCTCATTAGCCTTTGTGCCCGGGGTGGGCATCCGAGCACTGACCAACCACGGCACAGCCAACATCAGCGCAGACTGGGAAGTCAGGGCCCCGCTTTTGTGAGTACCCCCACCCCGCGTCCTGCTGCTCCAGGTCACAGAGGAGCCAAAGCCAAGACTGTACTCACTCATAGACTCACCATCAAGCCTGTCAGGGTTAGGCTGCTTTTTGTTTTGTCTGGTTTTTGAGACAGGGCCTCACTGTGCATTTCAGGCTGTCCTTAAACTCCCAGCAATCCTCGCGCCTCAGTCTGCTGAGAGCTGAACGACAGGCGTGTGCCACCACACCTAGCCTTAGCAGCCCCTCTCAGGAATGTTTTCTCCAGCTGTGATTTAAATTGCAATCTGTACTTAGAAGGAGGGAGTTGTATCCATCCCTTAGAAGCAGAGTGGCTGGTTGATCAAAAGCCATTTAAGGTGTCCTGAGAGGCAGAGGAACAGTTCTGACTACAAATCCAGTGCCTTCGTCCGGTACGGGGGCGGGGACCTTGGCTGGGCCTTAGTAACAGGCTCGCTCATTAGTTCACTCCGGGTCACCTTCCCCGCCTGAGGGCTTCGGTCTCACAGATGGCAGAGAGGCCCTGTTGTGCCCCATGGTCGGTGTGTTCAGGACACAAGCTCCATCTCCCCGCCCGGCGCAGACCACAACCTCACGAGACTTCCTCTCTAAACAGCCGCGACGCAGGTGGAGCTGATCTCTTCCTGTCTGGAGTCTACTTCACGGGTGTGATCATCCCGACCCAGGATGCTTTCAGCCACCCTGCCCTGAAGCTCCAGGACTGCTACGCCCAAGTGAGCCATGCCCAAGTGTCCTTCACTGGGGACCTGAGGTGAGAGCAGCTGGGGCACTTGGCTCCTGGGGCAGCACCTGGGGGCTGGCCGCCGCCCAGCGGGTCCTGAGGAGGCTCTTTGTTCCGTCCCCAGCGCCCTGTATAACACATTCGCTGAGCCCATGGAGAAGCCCATCCTGAGGAACTTAAATGCAGTGGTGAGTCTTGGGGGCTGGACAGGACCACAGGCACTGGTGGCAGGTCACCACCCATAACCCTCAGTCATCGAGCCTTTGTTGAGCCCCTGCTGTATGTGAGGCGCCATGGGACACTGGCACGCACATTACCCGCTGCCACTTCGTGACACTGTGCTGTGCGCCACGCTGTGGCGGGCACTAGGGCCCCGGAGAGGCATAAGACAACATCCCTGCCCTCAAGTGGCCTGCCATGGGACAGGCAAGCAAGCCTCAGGGATCGCTGATTCTGTGCCCCTTCTGCACACAGCGCTGGGCTAGGCTCTACAAGGCTGCAAGGAGGAATAAATTTGTCTATCTAGAAAAACCTGGGCTTGGGGAACAATAAGTCAACGAGGACTTGAATTTAGTGCATAACTGCATGGCAACTAGATTGAAGTGTGGGGTGCAGAGGATGGAAATTACAGAAATGGGGCCGGGAAGAGTGCTGGGAGGTGCTTTTAGGAGATGCTGGACTTGGACTGGGCCTTTGGGTATAGTTAGGATTTGGGTAGGTAAGGAATGGGGAAGAAGAAAAGAGATTCCCAATGGATAGAATAAGAACAAATTAAAGCAAACAGGAGTAAGATGCCCTCCAAAGCCGAGAGCATCCTAACTCCAGGCATCAGTATTTGAGGAAGGAAATGGCCAAGGATTCTCTTTCCCATCCCAACCATACCTTCCTGATCCCTTTACTTACACTTTGGGGCAGCTGAGCACTGGCTGGGGAGGACTGCAGAAGAAGGACACAATGAGGGTGGCTCTCTCGTGTCCCCAGTGCCCAGTCTGTGCCATGCCAACAGGAAGCGCCTAGCACATCGGCGGGGAAATCAGCTTCCAGAAGAGGGTGAAGCGGCAGGGCCCCTGCCACTTCCCCGGGTCCTCCACCCTGCCTGGCAGGGCCCCACACTGGAGCACTCAGTGCGGGGTGTTGTCCTTTGGCCTCAGACAGGAGGCAGTGAAGAAAGACTTCCGCACAGTAGCTGGTATTTAAGTCTGCCTGGAACTTTGCGTGGCTGATCAATAACGCACTTCGCCTCTCCGGGTCCCTCTGGCAATGGGAAGCAGGCGAGAACCCCCTGAGCCAGCCCCAACTTCACTCCACCTGTGTGGCCCCGGCACTCACGAGCCTGTCTGGGCCGTGCTGTACCCGCTTGTTCCTGGCACTCATGGCCGGAGCAAGGGGCTGAGGCAATGCCAGCTAACACTACTGACACTGGGCAGCTTTACGCAGACCACTTCAGTTCCCATTAGACTTTGGTGAGTCGACAGCAATTTCATCCTCACGTTGCAGATGAGGAAACTGAGTCAGAGTCTGAGTAACTCGCCAAGGGAATCAGCCCCTGGTGCCGGGCTCCCACGATGCCAACCCCGTGCTCAGCGCACTGGGGCACACAGCGAGCACAAGGCACTGGGCCGTGGCCCTCCGCAAAGACGTGCTACAGTCCACTCACAACGGGGAGAAGCTGGACTTCTAACAGCCTGGGGAAGGGACGGGTGGGCTGTGGCACTGCGGCGGACACGGAGCTGTGACAGAGGCGGGGCGGCGCCCCCAACGTTCCCCACGGTTCCCAGGGAGCCATGGTGAGCCGAGACACCGCCTGCTGTCCAGGGGGCTCGGCTCCAGGCTGCCCACACCCTCGTTTCTGTCCCTCCCCACAGCTCTGCCCCCTTATCTCGGACGAAGCAGCAGGGCTGAACACCAACCTCAGCTCCCTGGAGGGTGAGTCTTGAGGCAGGGTCCCCTGGTGCTGCGCACCCCACCTTCACGTCTGCCCCTCCAGCTTTGCTCTTCAAGGCACGGACACCCACTCTTCCCCATCCCCTTTCACCCCGCGTTTCTGGTTTTGGTTTTTTGTTTTTTGCTTTTTATTTGAGACAGTGTCTCACTCTGTAGCCCCAGCTGGCCTTGAACTCACCACGAACCTCGTGCCTCAGCCTCCCAAGTGCTGGGTTGACAGACATGCGCACCGCACCCAGCTGCCCTGCAAACTAAAGTCCCAGGATTTGTGTAGAGGACACAGCCTGAGCTCGGCTGTGCTCCCTAGCTGCTGAGCGACTTTGCCACTAGAGGAGGGGGCTCAGCTGCAGGCCAGGAGTCAGGGGATCACCGGCTTGAACCGCTCCTCGGGCACCAAGCCCCGCTCTGCAGATGACCGACCCTGACCTCGACGAGGTCACTCCCCTGTGCCGCCTTCAGCATCAAGGCCACACACCTTCCTTGCAGCCCAAGAGTGGCCACACACAGGCTCCACTCCCTGCCCCTGCTTCCTCTTGCAGCTTTTCTTCTGTGGCCGTCAGACGGCTCTGCTTCCCCAGCTCCCTGCCTCTGGGCGAGGCCCAGACAAGCTCCCGGAGGAGCCCCCAGCCCTGCATCCAAGAACGCCCACACCCTACTGCTCCCTGCACATCACAGCCCTCCCCCTCCACTCCTCAGCCTTTCCATCCTCTTAACTCTCGTCTCACACTCAGCTCAGGCCTGATCTCCGCCATGTCTTCTAGGAACCTTACCCGACAGCCATGTTCATCAGGGACACTTCCTGTGGGCACGGACACCCTACGTGCCTCTCTCTCTGCCCTCCACCTGGGATCAGCTGGGCACTGGCCTGGGTGTGAGGAGGCAGAAATGCTCACCTCCTGGGTTGCGTGGGAGGAGCAGACAGGAAGCCAGGTAGACCAGCAAACCTATGCTGTGGCCGGGAGGGGTGGTCGGAAGACAGATGAGCAGGGTTTCTGTTCCAGAGCATGGGGCCAGGAGAGCCACTCCTGAGCAGGTGGCACTGCAGGAAGAGCCCAAGGGAGTAGGATGGGGCTGCTTCCAGATCTGGCCGTATCAGAGACCTCATAGAAGACCTCTGCAGCGGGCCTCGATCTCCTACAAGACAATGTGACATCCGCGATAGGAGACAGGGAACAGAGACACAGACAGAGACTTGAGAGACAGCTGGATCTTGGGCTGATCTGAGCTGCCCTGGGCAGCAAAGACAAAAGGCACCAAGGAATCCAGTGTTTATAAGTATCACAAGCAGAGGCACTAGCATATCTTACTGGGGAGAAGAAACGGTTAATTCACAGGGGAAGAACTTAGGTAGAGTCAGCTGACCTTGTCTGTTCAACTGGAAGTGAACTCAGCTGAGCCTGCTGCTCCTCGGACTGGGACTTACATCTCATACCTCTAGCAACACAGGCGCAGTATGAGCCCAACTCTACCCTCTGCCATGCCCATTTGAGTCCTGTAAATCTTCAGTCAGACTCCTGAGATAACACAGCCAAATCACAGAGGGGCGGGAAGCCTGTGCCACTCACAGCCTGCTAGCACTGGACAGAGGTGTCTGCCGCCTGGTGAGTCTCAGGCCTCGTCTGTGGCTGCAACGAACGCCGCCGGCCGGGTGTATTATCGGTGGTCGAAGTTTACTTGGCTCACAGACTGGAGACAGGAAATACAAGGTCAGGAGCCACCTGGCTGAGGGTGCCACACTGAGCTGCGGCTCGGCAGAGGGGCGAGGGAGTGTGCGTGAGACGGACAGGCCAAACTGCACAGCGTGATGGTGCTTGCCCGTCCCAGGGTTGGGCACCACGGCCTGGCCGTCTCTCGGAGGCCCCGCTCCTGTGCCGCAGCGCTGACACACAGCTGCCCTGAGAGATTGGAGGCAGTCAGCCACAGCATGTGCGGGCAGCACTCAGGCAGAGGACCTGGGCCCAAAGACCCTGCCGCGTGTGAGCAGGGTTGACGGAGCCTGAGGGGCCCATCCACACGTGAGTAGAGGGGGCGGGGCCACGTTCAAGGTCCAGGCAGAGACAGGCAAGGGACTGTTAGGTTTTCGGGCTCTGGCGCCGCTGCAAATCTGCCCTGTAGCCCAAGGCAAGATGCCCTGAGAGGGTTGAGGCCGCAGGGCCTGGTGTGTGCTTTGGGAAGAGCTGCCGGCCAGGCTGTGGAGACAGACCCGCTTCCAGGTAGCAGGGAAGTAGACGGCAGCGTTGCCAACAGACTGCTGAGGTCCTTGAGAGCAGACAAGGGTCCTGAGCACTGCAGAACCGGGAATGGAGGGCGCATTTCCTGCTGCGGATGACGGGGACTGGTTTGTCCTGGGTCCTTGGCTCCATCCAAGACCTGTTCTGCCTGCAGTGTGGCCATCGCTCCTTGGGCACAGGGGCAGGACTGATGTCCCTAACCCCAGCCCCAGCCCCAGGGCCTTGGCCACACCAAGCTCACAGACACTGCTCAGGGGCCAGAAGAGACGAGTGTGGGGCAGGGGGACTGGAGAGGCAGGGAGGAAGAGAAAGAATGGACTGAAGGGCAAGTACTGGCCCAGGGGTCCGTGCCGAGCTAGCCCTGGGCGGGCAGGTTTCCTTACCGATGAAGGCTTTCCACCCACCTCCCTCCCGGGCTGGCTGTGGGGCCCATTCAGATTGGCCCTGGACTGCATTTCAAAAACTGCAGCGGCCACCTTTCCTTGGCAACTACCATAGCCTTCTTGTTTCTCTTGTCTGTCTGGAAATAAACCTGAATGTCTCATAGGAAGAGAAGGTATGGCTCCCGGGTGCCTTGGAGCAGGCAGAAGTCTCATAGCTCAGACCGGATGGGGTGGGTGGCAGGGATGCAGCTCTCCAGAGCCCCAGGCAGAAAGCCAGGCACAGCTCACCTGAACTCTGCCCACAAACACCCTGGTCCCCTGGCCTTCTGCTTCTGTCTGAAAATGCTAATCTGAAACTGTGGCACCGTGCATGAGAATTTCCCTGGCCTCTCTGACTTAGTGGCTTTTATTTTCTCTCTCACAGGGTCTCACTTTTTAAACAATTACTCGTAATTGCAACAGTAATGCATGCTCTGGCCAGGGATTTAGCTCAGTGGTACCACAGCCTGCATAAGATTCCGAGTTCGATCCCAGTACCAAAACAAAACAAAACAGTAATGCATGTTCATTATTTTAAAAAATTAAGTTCTCACTGCATTGAAATCTATAATGTTGAACTTGAAAGGGTCTTAACCCAATATATATGGCTTAATATTGGTAAGGATCTTTGTGCTAATTACCTTTTTTAAATAAAACTATATATATAGCAGGGCATGCTATCTCACGCCTACAATCCCAGCACTTGGAAGGCTGAGGCAGGAGGCTTGCCGAGTTTGAGGAGAGCCTGGGCAATACTGTGAGTTCAAGGCCAGCCTGAACTGCATAGTGAGACCTTGTCTCAGGAAAATAAAAGAATTATGTACATATTGTATGTATGCATACATGTTGGCGTGCGGTCATGTGCCTTAAAGGAATTCCCCAAACTGTACTGATGTTTCTTTTCGGGTGACATGGTTGAGGGAGGTTTTTATTTTCCTCTTTCGACTCATCTGTTTTCCTTAAATGTATTACTTGTGGAAGGAGAGAACTGGCATTTTAAACAGAGAGCTGAAGTAGAGCTTGGGCCTTTATTCATCTTACACTACACTTTATTGAATATCTATTTTTTTTCTTTTTTTGGATTTTTAGTTTTAACTAAGATTGACAACTTCACGCTGCTGGATTACTCCCTCATCAGCCCTCCAGAAATCACTGAGCACTACCTCGACCTGAATTTGAAGGTAACTTTATCACCCTCGGACTCCTCACCTGGCTGTTAACAGCCAGCCCTTGGAAAATGAGCACTGTGTGCTGGAGAAAACATGCACACGCGCCCTTCAGACAAACAATTTTTCTTTCTAGCAACTCGTTCGTGTTGATGCCTCTCCCGAACTCTTGACCCCTTTCCTGATGGGCAAATGGCTGTTTACCTTGTCTGCCTTGTCTGCCTCTTTTGTGAGCAGTGCAGTGTCTGGGCCTCTTGAGAACAGAGGTCTGCACTTGGTAGAGCTGAACTCCTACATGGGTTGTGCGTGCTGGCTTTTGTCTTCCTAACTCTCAGTGCAGGGGAGTCAGCTGGGGGCTGCTGACCTGTGCCCTGGGCAGGAACCCATGGCCAACACATCCATTCACCCTGGAAAAGCTGTGCAAGTTACTGCCATTGTCTTTCAAAGCACATCCTGATTAACATTTCTCTCAGACAGGGCTGGGATTTAGCTCTGTGGCATCGCCACCTGCCTTGCAAGAGCAAGGTCCTGAGTTTGATCCCCATACCACAAAAAAAACCAAAAACAGGGATGGGGATTTAGCTTAGTGGTTCTGCTGCCTGCCTCGCAAGTGCAAGGTCCAGAGTTTGATCCCTGGTACCAAAAAAAACCAAAAAAACCTACATAAAACAACAAAAACATTTCTCTCAGTCTTCCCAATCAGTGCAGTGTTTCCAAGACAGCATTGTCACAATGCCCTTAGCTCACAAGAGCAGTGTTAGGAATTCAGTGAACTACCTTGTGCTGAAGGAACCTGGGCCCTTCCCAGTGTCTCCCTGACTCCGAAGGGATCCCAGCCACAGGTTTTGAAGGCCAAGGGCTTAACGCCTCCAGTGGCAGCCTAGGAACGGGTCAGAGGTGCTGCTCCCTCCAACTGCAGCTCCATCCTTCACAGCCAGGAGCTTCTGGCTGAGCTGCACCCCAGGTTGCACTCACCAGGTCCTCTCCCCCGGAGCCTCCAAACCCTGCAGGCGTGGCTGGAGAGGGTCTGCACCTCGGTCCACAGCCGGGGGCTCCGCGCTAACCCACACTCCTCTGGATCTCCTCAGGGCGCGTTCTACCCACTGGAAGACCTCACCGACCCCCGCTTCTCTCCGGAGCCTTTCGACCTCCCGGAGCACTCGGACTCCATGCTGTACATCGGCATCTCCGAGTACCTCTTCAGGTCGGCGTCCTTGGCTCATTTTGCTGCCGGCGCTTTCAGTGTCACGCTGTCCACCAAAGAGGTAACCACAGCTTGCGGGTGGTGACCACCAGCACGGCCACGTGTCGTCTCATACGTCGCCACCGTGGCATTTATGTCAAAGTTGCGATTCCTGGGCCTTTTTAGGTATCACTCCGTGCAGGGCCACAAGAGAAGGAATCGTGGAACGAATGTTGTTATTTGATGTGGAATAGCTGGGTTTCCAGTTCTGCTAGTTTTGGTTTTTCCACGATGGCCGGCTACTGCCCTAGACTGCTCTTGGCCAATGCGAGGCCTCCCACCACCGCGAACTGCCTGTGAGCCTCGGTCATTTAGCTTAACTTCTGTGACTCCGCTTCCTCGTTTGGAAAGGGGAGAGCGTGGGGTCCACTCTCAGAGGTCTTCACAGGCATCGCAGGTTTACACACAGACAAGGCATCCAGACCAACACCCGGAGCATCGCAGTCCATGTCGCTGGTGCGACCTCAGTGTTGTCCCTCAGGTCACACCAATGTCAGGGTTTCTCCTGACAGTGACCACAACCGATTTATCACCAACAGTGACCCATAACAGTGCAGATGTTCACTGACTCGGTGAGGATAATGAGAACAATCCCTCCAGCCAGTTAACTGAAGACTCACTGAGCATCCCTTTTATATCTTCTCCTTCTGTATGTCTCACTTACACCAGAAGTTATGTCCTCCGTCCAAATGGTGAGTGTGGCAGTACCAGCTATCTTACTTAAAGTGCCAAAAACGACACTTCGAGCTAGCTGTAGGCTTGAGAACCACTCACCTGGGAAAGTAAATCACGCGAGCATCCTGAATCTCAGGGATCTCTGAAAGCAATGACAGTGATGGGACTCATGATTGGTGCCTGTAGGATGCCCATGTGTGGAGCACAAGTAATTCTACAGGGTCCCAAGGTGGACAGGTGCTCACTACAAGGGAAGGTAACTTCCCATGTGACCTTGGGCAACACACTTCACTCCTCTGTTTACTTCTCTTGCTTTACTCATTTGATTCCCTGGGGTTGGGACAGAGCACCTTAACATTTTAGGGTACAGTAGCTTCACCATTCATATAATTATAGGGAACCATGTTTTTCCTGAAAAGACAATAATCCAGGTAAACCTTACCGTGACATGATGGTGTTTGCATTTCAGATTTCCAACCATTTAATTCAGAACTCTCAAGGAATTGGCAACGTGTTCTCCCGGGTAACTGCCCAGGGCTCAACTCTTTGGTGATGTACTTGTTTTCACTGCAATTATTTCCTGAAGGTTTGTGGGTTCGTTATGTTCCCTTCTGATCCAGGAATGAGTCCATCTTTCCATTTGTAAGAGTTCTTTTTTCCTCTTAATCAAATATCCTCAAATACTAAACACTAAAGTATAAAGTACATTACAATTAAAGTCACTGTAAATTCATAAAATCATATATTCCTTCCACAAGGATCCACCACACTTGAAGTAAGTAGATTAAATACAAGCCAGGTATGGCAGAGCACGCCTGTGATCCCAGCACTCAGGAGGCAGAGGCAGGAAGCTCACCTTGCATTTGAGGCCAGCCTGGGCTACACAGTAAGCTCAAGGGCAGCCTGAACTACATAGCGAGACCCTGTCTCAAAAATAACCATCTTAAATAAAGCATACATCAGCTTTAATAAAGGATTTAATCCTTAAGGGAAAGATTAATGCCCACATTAGTGAATTCTGAGAATTACCTGTTAATATCGTACCTTCCTACGGGCTAAGTACCGGTCATGACAGGTCTACGGGCTCAGGTCTGCCTTGGGGAACCAAGGGGTCCTAAGGGAAGGCACTCAAGTCAGACGTGGGCGGGTCTGACTCTTGGGTCCACGGCTTCCTCTATCAGAACCTGGAGGAAGCCACCTGGCCTCCCCACAGCGCACATCCTCTGTCCCAAGCAGGGACACTGATGGGGGGGCTTGCGAAGTCTCTGACACAAAGCCCTTGCCTGGGAGCTGGCATGCTCTGTGTAAAGAAGTGTGGTGGTTACCATGGGGGGTGGGTGTGCTGCCGCCGTTACTACTAGGGAGGCTTTCTGTTCCAACTGCGTGATGGGAGCCTTGGTCACCACAGGCTCCTGGTTCACAATTTCCACTCCCTAACTCATGACCCTCCATTTCTCCCCAAACCGGGCAGCTTGCAGATCTCTACATCCTGTTCCAGCCCCTCGTGCTGCGGATCATGGCCACGGAGCCGCCAGTGGTCCGCCTGCAGCCGGGCAACTTCAGCCTGGAGATCCCTGCCTCTGCCATCCTGCTCACGCAGCCCCAGAACTCCAGCGAGCTGGAGCCCATCGTCTCCATGGACTTTGTAAGTCGGAAGCTTCTCCATGCTGGGGAGGGGCCGACACCCGAGTGAGGGCTGAGCACAGAGCCGGGACCTTACCAAACCAGGCCCGTTTCACCCACTGTGCAGTGAGTTTGTGAAAGAGAAAGCTTGTTCCTGAGGCCGCCCTGCACGGAGTGAGAAAGTCTCTCCAAGGATGGGGCCTGGGTGTTTACAGCAAGGCTGGGGATGGTGTGGATCCAGCATCACCCACGCCTGCTGTCACTGTCAGGACCCACTCGTCAGAGGGATTATGGGGTCAGCTAACAGCAGCACCGAAGGGCAGGCCAGTCTAGGGGCTCATTCCGCTCCTCTCGGAGAGTGTGGCCTGCTCGTCTCCCTCTGGCTCCCGGAGGCCGTGGAGAGGGATGAGGGACATGGGCCCAGGGCTCCACCACGTGTCAAGAAACATCTCCCGTCCCTTCTGCCCATGCCCTTCCCACCCTGCAGTCAGGTGGGGCTGAATTTCGTTTTCCTCGAAATGAAACCGTCCGTGTGGAGCTCAGGTTCACTCGGCTTCAGTTAAAGTCCAGCTGCAATCTGATAGCAGGGAACTGATACGTGGACACATGGACCTAAGCAAAATCAGAGAGGCAGAGAGACGAGAGTAGGAGATTAGGGAAAAGCAAAAAACTGCTTAGATGGAGACCCTTGTGCAATGAGCCTTTAGAGTTTAGTCTCCTCCCTGACAGGATTTTCAGAGCAGCGTTAGGATCCTCTCACTCCAGGGAAGCTGGGCGGAGCTTGGACCAGTAACTAGCACTCTGTCCGCAGGTAGCCAGCACCAGCGTCGGCCTGGCGATTTTGGGACAAAGGCTGATCTGCTCCCTGTCTCTGAACAGGTAAGATCCTGGGTCGGGACTGGGGAGCCTTGGTGACAGATGAGTTGGCAAAGCCCAGGGACAAGGCCACCTTTCAGAGGGCATGAGCTTGGCCAGCGGTGATCGAGAGTCAGTCAAGCACATCCCCATAACACAGCAGGCCATCTCCAGGTGCGGGCTGGACTCCAGTCACCTTGTGAAGTTTTCCTTTTTCTTCCCGTCAGAGTAATAGTAAGTTAAAGCAGGAAACAAAATAATTATAAAGCTAATTCTGTAACATAAGCGTACATTCTAGTGGGGCAGCAACGTAAGTTATTTTTTATCAAGTCCTGAGAGGGAAGAATACAGAACTTGGGGAAGCTGCTGGGTGTGGTGGTACATGTCTATAATCCTGCACTCGGGAGGCTGAGGCAGGAGGATCACCATGAGTTCAAAGGCAGCCTGGACTACACAGTGAGACCCTGTCTCCAAAACAAATATCGTCAGAGGCCAAGGACCCATTTCCAGTCCCTTCTCACCAGCTCTATGATTGTGATCCGGTCTATTAGCATCTTTCATGCTCCATCTCCTGGACTACGAAGTCAGGAAGTCAGATCAATGGTGTCCACAGCGCTGTCGGACGCTGACAGCTGGGTCTGTCCCCAGAGCAATGTTCAGGGACCCCCACCCAGCTGGTCCTCCAAGGCAGGCAAAGTAGTGTGGCAGGGATACAGGGCTCCGGGCCCTGCATGCTGGCATCCTTCGGAAGGACCATCTTCAAAGCCAGTCTTGGGGGCAGAGGGGTTCGTGGACAGCTCAGACAACCCAGACTGCAGTCAGAGTTGGGAGCTGAGAAACCAGCAAGCTGAGAAGCAGTCGGCCTGAGGGGCTGCACAGACCACTTAGAAGCATAGGAAATGTCTCCCATAATATCCTATCAAGGGGCTGGAGATTTGGCTCAGTGGTGCCACCACCTGCCTCGAAAGCGCAAAGTCTTGAGTTCAGTCCCCAGTACCAAAAACAAAACAAAAAAACAAAAACAAAAAAAACTAGAACAGCTTCACTTCTGGATGAGGGAGCATGTTGCCCAAAAGAAAGAACAGTGCTAAGAAAGGGTGGAGTGGTTGTTTTTTTTCACAGAAATATTCTTTGTAACTGTATTTTTCCAATAAAAGGAATAGTTTTTTAAGAGGCACCTGCAGTATGGTTACTGGAGAGGAAAGATTTCAATGGGGCTGACCTGCAATTTACCCAGTCTTCCAAGCAAAGCTAGCCTCTCCATATGGCTCCAGAAGTGCAGTGCCTGCAGCCCAGTCTACCTCGGGGACCCATAAAAATGCTTCCGTTTTCCTTTCTCATGGTACTGGGGATAGAACCCAAGGAAGCTCAACCCTTGGGCTACCTGGACTGACTGGAACTTACTACCCTCCTGCCTCAGCCTCCTGAGTTGCTGGGATCACAGGCATGCGCCACCACACCCAGGATTTTTTTTTTTTTTTTTTTTTTTTTTT